ACATCTTTTGCCTGGCATAGTTGTGGCTGGTTGACTCACAGTCACCTACACATGGCCCAGCCATCTATCTCACTTTACATCCACTCGCCTTCAGTTCCCTTCTCTGACTCGATTGCTGCTGAAGTACTGCAAGACCAGATCAGCTTCTAGCCGTTCCTTGTAGAGGCCGTCCTCTCTCCTGGGCCCAACGCTCACCCCAAGCAGGCCATGTCGCTGCAGCTACACAGGGGCTTCGGATCTAAGTCTGTCCAGGCGCTGTGAGTCACGAGCTGTAGCTCGGAAGTGCGGCGCCGGTATGGTGATAACACCTCCCGGAGACAACACTTGCTCAAATGTTTACTATCCTGACCTCCAAACATCTTCAGCTAAGTGTACTCATCTTCCGTTCGCGTATTCTTCAACAAGCAAGGTGCAGCCCTTCCTCCTGAAAAAGAGAACGTCAGTGGCTCTTCTTGCTCGCTCCGTGTTCGGGCCTACAGGCAGCTCGTACGTCACAGGATTCAAGAAAATGTCGAGGCAGCCAGGCTCGCGTGGCTCGCGTGGCTCCACGCGCCAGCCCTTTCCTGGCAACATGCTCGATGTGCGAACCTGCCAAAGCTTAGGCATATCAAGCTAAGGGAGCTCCATTCTGCCCGTTTCAAGGAGAATCGTGAAAGCTGGGCCCAAGGCTTGCGATCATTTGGAGTATGGTCTCGGAGGGCTCCCGCATCCTTGGTGCGGCTCCATTCCAGGCTTAAACTTATGCTCGCGTATCGCATGCGAGCAAAAACTAACATAGCCCCGGTGGATGTAATGTCCTCCAGAGTTTTAGGCTGCAAAACAGAGCCGCTACATGGTTGCGAGTCCAGGAGGCAATTCTTCTGCAGTCATGTCAGTCTTGTCCGCCACCTGTGCATTGGCTGCTCCCGGCTCGGTCTGAACCTGAGCAGAACAGCCGGTGACTGAGGCTCCCCTGATTCCGCAAACTAGACGCCTGGCTGATTGAGCCTTTTCTCTGCTGTTGTCCAATCACAAGATGTGTTTCCTTTAAGCGGCAACTTTCACATGGCCTTCCACAAATTAATCGCACCGTCTGCATTTGTTGGGTCCAACATCTCTTTGGCAACGCATAAATTGCTGTATTCCGAGAAACAAACACTCCTTAGTACTTGACAACACCTTGACTGGCCTTCGGTTAGCGCCTGAGGATTTTCCTGCCAATACAGGCACCAGCCCGCTTCATCTCTGATTGTACGGGCGTATCACATTGCACATGGGTCATATGGGTGCTGGCAAAGCAACCATCCAAGGGCTCCCTTTGAGACCAACCATCCTGGGGCTCCCTTTGTTGTCCAAAAGAAAGAACATATTCAGAAGAAATGTCTGGACATTTCCAGACATTCGTCTTCTCAAAGCTCACCCCTTCCCTTAGGCGTCCTTAAAGGTCGGTCCATTTTGAGACCCAACTGGCTTCAAGGAACCCTGGTGTAATTCCCTGGCCTTGATGACCAAATTGGCCTGGTCCAGCCCGGGAACATCAGGAGCTGCCTGTCTCAAGAGCTTGCCTGTGAGGAATGGAGACCCCAAAACATGTGGGGGGTTCTCAAGTTTAGGGGCTCTGTGGTTGGCTTGACTTACAACACAGTGGGCTCTCCATTCTGAGACAGACCCATGGTGTCCTCTTGCTGCCTCCCACCGAAAGAGGCCACAGCTACCTATTGGAGTGCGCCTGCTCAACTGCCGCAGCCTCTAGCGCTGGCGCTGGCTCATCAGTTTCCTGCAAACACTTTCGCCGCTTGCTTGTCCGTGCACAGTGCCAAATCTCAGCTGAGGGTCTGTTTTGTCAAACACTTGGCATGGAAAATACCCGAACCAACATCAATGGATCAAGACCACTCCGGATATGGTATAGTCCTGCGCTTCTAGATCTCAGCTCCGGATGCAATTCTCCACTCCCATAGGTCCTTCTTTGGAGCCTCCTTCCTTGAACGTCTCACTGACTCAACTGCCTAAGGAGTGGCCAAGCGGCTGGGCAGAAACGAAACTACGTTGTCGCCCCATGCCGCTTTTCCAACCATATCGACACAAGCAAGTCAACTTGGTTGCTGGAATTTGTCCAAGCCACCAAAGCCGCAAGCGCATCGACTGGAAGCAAGGCAGTGTTCGACGCCATAGCTGCAATCTCAGCCTGAGCTGACTGACAAAGGAAAACTAGGCCCTTCTGTGGCGGGAGAAGGTGAAGAAAGCCGCAACAAAGTGCAGTCCATTCAAGCCCCTGGTCGGCAGGCCGCTTGTTCGAAGAGGGACACATCTGGTGTTTGCAACTGCAACTGTGGAAAGGCTGTGGTTATCTGGCCCCATTGCTTCCTGGAGACGCTGCTGGCAGCGTCGTAGCCCTTGACAGCGGTGGTAGTGGCCCACCAAGCCAAACAGCCTAGCCTGCAGCTCAGAGACTCTTTGGTCAGACCCAAACTCAAGGCGAGCTCTTTCCCAGACTCTTTGGTCGGGAACACAGGGTCAGCATATGACCTAACTTTGCTTCAATGTCCAAAGAAAGACCTGATTGACCCTCGAAGGCGCGCCTCCAAACACACCTTTGAGCCAGCCAAGCAGAGTGAAGTGAAGTGAAGTACAAATGATTCCGAACCGAAATCGACGTGCAGCGCCATGGGCCCCGTTGATCTCCTGCAACCGCTCACGCCCCATTCATCCCAAGTCTCCATTGCCAAGCGGCAAGGCAAGCAATCGCCGCACCAATGGCTTTCGACTCTTGGTCGCTTCCTCTCCGCCTGCCGGCTCTCGGCTTCACGCCAGTCTGGGCACATTATTCACAAACTGGAAAGAAGGACTCCCCAAGTGAGGGGTTGTTTTAAAGAGAAGCCACGAATTTGGGGGCTCCATGACCTGCATGGCTGTGGCTGAGACCATTACTCGTGCAGAAACATCTAGCCTGCGTCTGCATCCGGCAAGCTTTGCGCTTTGTCATTCGGCACACTCCTGACAGGGCTTGGCCAACTCCGAGCTCCGCTCACCCAGGAACTTGCGTTGAACCGGAATAGACACAAACAAGACGAGACAGGCAAACAAACAAACAGGCGGGCAAACGCACAACGAACACACGCGCGAAAGAACGAACAAACAAGCAAGCAAAACCGTCAATCTATGAATGCGTCAATGATGAAGTACATCCATTCGTCCATCCGCCCGTGCATCAACCAAGCAATCGATCAACGAAGTCAATTCAACCAATCCGATCAACCAACCAACCCAAGCAGTCCAATCAATCCAGCCAACCCAATCAATTCAACCAACCCAACCAATCAATCACTCCGATCAATCCCACCAATCCAAGCACTGCAATCAATCCATCCAATCAGTCCAATCAGTCCAATCAATCCAACACATCCAACCAATCCAATCCATACATCCATGAATCAAGTAATAAACAAGTAATAATAAATCCATTCAATCAATTCATCCAATGAACCAATCACGGGATCAAAGAATCAATGAATCAACTAATCAATGAATCCACCAACCATCCACCCAGCCAATAAGTCCACCCATCCAATCAATCTAGAAGGCAATCAACCAACTAAGCAAATAAATAAAACGATCGATCGATCAATCAATCAACCAATCAATCCATCAATCAACTCAACTCAACTCCAATCCAATCAATAATCAATCCACTCACCCACCCACCCAGCCAGCCATACAGCGCGTATTCTTATCAACATTGCTTGAAGCAGTCCTTTGAGAAATGCGCACGATGGGCTGCGCGCTCCTCTGGAAGCTGCCCTGCCATTGGCAACATAGCATCTGTTTGCAGAAACTTGCAACCTCCGGGGGTTTCTCCAAAATACCAGTACGGGATACCAAACAAATATGGCAGTGTTCCTTTGATTTCTCTTTTCAAAGCAAACCCCTAAAGAGGTGTCTTCAATAGAAAACAAATGCAAGTTTTCAAGAGACGGGGGCGAAGTGCCTCCCAAGCTTGAAGCGGTGAGGCCATGCAACGCAGGGAACAGGCCTGCACCCATGCATGCGGCGCTGCCAACAGAGCCTCGGACAATTTAAACGCTGGCTTTCCCCTCTATGGAAATGGGTTCTTAGAGTCCCATTGTTTTGGTGAGAAATTTGGAGGGCCCCAATGTTTCTCACAAGCTGACCTTTGCTGATGGACATTTTGGGCGAACCTTGCATCTCCCTGGACTTCACCAGAAGTCCTTTGAGCGCCGACGATCTAATAAGAAGCCCAGAAGAACTGGCCCTTGACCACTCCCCCCCCCGTTCTGCTTGCGCAATTTGAGTATGCGCCAAAATAGGGAACCCCCCCCCAAAAAAAAAGGGTGTTTCTTTTGATTCTCCTTGACGCCAATTTCAAATTGCTCAAATTGCATGCCCGGCTCCCACAATAGCCATGCTGCTAGTGCAGCCAACAGCAGCAGCGTTGTACCTCGGCGATGACCTGCGCTTCAGAGCCCGCAAAGCCATGATCTTGAATCTAGCGCTCTAGCTAGTACACTACCATGTCTCGTTGGTCCCGGATTTTGCTTGGGTCTACAACTAGCCAGCATTGATCGCCGAGCGACAAGCCGCTCCATCCACATCAATATTTGTAAGCACGGAGCAATCACACACGCGACATTGATTGTTTTCAGCTTGAAGTCGTTTGTTGATGCCGAGCCTGGAAGACGGGCCATGGTAAGCACATGGATTGGGCCATACAGGCTGCGGCATGTCAGTTCAGTGCCATCGCGCAGCGACACTCCTTCTGCCTCGAATGGCCCTGGATTTCGAGCGCAGACCGATCAAAGAGAAATCACTGTGTGTGACGAATCCCTTTGCAAGCTTGGGAGGCCACTACCCATCAACCCCTCCTGCCATGAGTCTGGGGACAGGACTATTACTTTCCTGCAAACCAAAATGGAGCCCGAAAACCTTCAGTGGGGGGAGCCTCAAAAGGAGACGCCGGACCCAGAAGAATCTGACAGACTTCGAAGCTGTGGCAGGTGGGCACGGCGCCGCCAGCGCTTGGCAGTTTCGCGGCTCTCCTGTGGCAAAGCCCAGCGTTTTCTCTCAACACGGAAGAGCTTTATATATCCATGTAAGTAAATCAGCCCAACCAAACCGGCACACAGGTTTTTATTGTCCCCCCAACAACAAAACAAGCAACATCAACCACGGCAGGTGCTCATTGTACCCCAACAAACACAAAATCAGACGTGCGAGTACAGCTTATCCCGGATGCAACGCGGAGCCCGCCTCCGGAGCCATGGCATGGCCACGATGGGACAAGCTACGCCCGGATGCCCTCTGAGAGACGTTGGCTCGGTTTTGCAGTGAGACGTTGGCTCCGTTTCTTGGCGTCAGCTAAGCATTTGGCGATTTTCTTTAAGACCATGTCTAGCTGCAAGCACGCGGCAAGGCAACTTCCGGCTAACCAGAGCTGCAGCATGAGCTTTGCCAAGTAGAACCCTTGTGCAAGCCTGAATTTGACCCAATTTTTCCGGATGTCATTCACCTAGCTACAGAATGCACCACTGTCCTCAGCATCACCGCTGGCCCGCTGACCTTGCTTTCTCAAGCGAAAAGGCAGGGCTTGCACTCCCCCGCGCAATTAGTATCAGCGTCATTGTGAGCACATGTCTGATTTTGAGCGGTGACCAAACTCAGACTGATGCCAAGTTGCCACAGCATCTTGAAGAAGCCTCTGCACAGAACCACGCACACACACACAACCAGGCTGACAATGCGAAGATCCTTGCACAAGAAATTTGAACGCGGCTGCCGGGAGTCACATTCGCGCCACTTGAGCAAGCTTTTCTATTCGTAGGTGATAGCTATTTCAGGTTGCAGGCGCCTGTCCTCTGTATCAGGATGGCACAGCCAGTCTATCAAAGCCATGATGAAAAGCTTTACTGATCTCCAGCTGTGCACTGCACACCTTGCCTGCCAGACCCCACACATCCACACTTCCACACTCACTGAGACAAAGTCTTTGCTTTGCATGTGTGTTTCAGCTATGTACAACTTGCTTCACAATTCCAGGCGGTTGGCTGCAAACCCGCTTCTCAGCCATCCTGCACACGCATTGTGCAAACATGCTATGAAGTGATTAGCTTGATGTTGATGTTTTTCGATAGTAACTGCCAACATAGATCTCTTCTGCACACCTCACATCGCGTTTCTGCCGCCCGTCAAAGATCTGTCCTGGTGCATCTGGGCCAAAACCTCTTCTCTCTCCTAAGTGAACTTCTGTGCTCAGCAGTGCCGCCAAGCTGGCTGGACGGCTTCAATACATCCTGCTGGGATCAGCCGTACCTTTTGAGAATGCCGGATAAGTAACATCAATCAACTGGAAAATGGCGGAGGCCAAATACAGGTTGGTCTCAAAATGGGATCCTCCCCAACCAAGTTCCCGGTTTTGCCTTGCTTCCCCTAAATGGCAGTGGCTCAAAGAAATGTACAAAAAATGGCACCTTGGTAAATGGAACATACTGAAACCAAAGACTGAAACCTGCGTAATCCCTGCTGTTGAATTTTGCGCCACACCCAAATTCAGCCGGGCCGCTTGAAGGAACCTGCGAGCCTCCATCTCCTTGCCGGCCTGGAGCGCCTTCTCCGCCTTCTCGTACAACTCCTGTTGGACGCACCACGTGGCGGTCGGATTGCTTTTTTGGGGGGTCCCAGTTTTGGTTGGGTTTTCAAAGGGAAACCCAAAGGGGAACCAACCACTTTTGGGGGGGTCCCCAAACGGCACCTATTTGGCTGTGGGTCAACACCAATGGGATCCCATTTTCGTTGGTAGGTGAATTCACCACCCATGTTAGAACCTATTTTAGTGGTCGGATTGGGATGTTCACTGGGGGTACGATTTGCATTTTGACCCATGGCTGTTTTGGTTGGGTTTTCAAAGGGAAATCCAGAGGGAACCAACCATTCTTTGGGGGTCCCCAAAAAACAACACACCCACACCTCTTTCTTCTAACCTTCTTCCATATCCCCAAAGGCCACAAGTCCATCGAGTGACGTCAGTGACGCGCTCTCCTCTGCCTTCTGCTGCAACGTCTGAGCTCGTCCTTGGACAAAACGGAACCCAGCGGATCATTGGCCCCAAGAAATTTGTCTTAAAATGAGGTTCCGGAACCTGTACACTTGGTTTCTCTCCGGTTTCCCTTTAGAACGGCACAGAAACGTTGTGGTTTCAAGAGCGAGCTCGATTCGATTGGCGCCAATGGGCTTTGCTGACCCTCCAGCAAGCTCTCGAGCTTCGCCTGACCAAACTGGCTGGTTTCCTTTCGGTTTCCTTAAAGGGACCCACAGACTGTCACATACCCACTCGAGGGAAACCCACTTGGGGGCACCCAAAAGCAAAGAACGGCAATCACCCGAATGCTTCTTGCTGCAGATGCCCTGGGGCTGAGCACGTCCAGCCTGCGACTTGGACCTGGCTTCCAGGAACTCTCTCGCGGATGCCTCGTCACCTGAGCTTTGCCGCTGCAATGGAATTGCATTCACCATTGCTTTCAGACCATCCACAACGGTGAGCACATTGACGTCGACAAGCAAAGCAATGACGAATTGAAAGGCGCGATGCCGGAACATCACCAGTCGCATGGACGATCTTAGTCGAGAGTGCTTGCAACATTTGGGCCACGGCCTCCTTGAAGCGCCTGTTCAGCCTAGGCCGAGTAATTTGGGCAAGATATTTGCATGTCAAGCGGAACTCCCCCAAAAACCCTCTACAAAAAGGGCCAAAGAGTCCAACTCGCAGCCACACAAACTTTGGAGGCCCCAGTCTCCCGCCTTGGCGTAGAGTTCCGCGACTTCCTCCTCCAGCCTTCGCTGCTTGGTCTTCAGGCCTTGCTGCAGGCGCTGGAGCTCGTCCTGTCCTGAGTCGGCTGTGGGTCAAAAATATGTACCCAAGCTGCTCTATGGCAAAAACATTTTTCGCCTCAATTCTGCCGATTGCCACACTCGCAAGAGTTGCCACCGATGTCCAGTCCTGAAGGTACCGCTGGTCTTTTTGGAGCCTCGGGTGCACTTTGGGCAGCTTCAGGCGCACTTCGAGCTTTCGGAGCTGCCGCTTTCGGCCTTGCGGAACGTGCAGCAGTTTCTGTGGCTGCTAAGCCAAGCCAGCTGGACGTGCCTGGAAGATTCGGAACTTGGTTTTGTGACCTCCTGCTTCGGAGCCTCCTGATGGGCCGCTTCTTTCCCCTACTCCCAAATCCTCGGCACCACGCAGTGCAGAGAAGGTATGTCATACCTTCTCTGCACTGCGCAAACCGAGGTGCCTGAGATCAGAGAAGCTGAAACGTTGAACAAATGCCATGTTTGGTTTGGTTTATGTGCTCATGTGTGGCCGATTATGATCAATCTATGCAAAGCGGACCCATCAACTCGCGTGCTTGGTAGAGCAGCAATACACACTGCAGCGAGCTGCAGTCTAGACTGCCAAATAAGCTGTCGGTACTTCTGGATGTTTCTGTTGGAACTCTGGTGCTCTCGTGCTCACAGCCCCTTCATCTCAAACATCATGTGGCTGGGGTTTGCGATGAACGTGCGGCATATGCAGGAGATCACTGACAACTTGAGCCGTTTGCGTGTGGCAAAACAGGTCAACTGACTGCAAAGCCAGCGATGGACCTGGCCGGTTTTTGCGGTCCCCAGAGTCCTCTTTCTTCTCCGGTGTAGTTGCCTGACATATTCCGCTTGGTGGTTCCAAATTGGGGGGGCGGCATCCGTACTTCCTAAGGGACACCTGGCCTACCGACTGAGAGTTGGTTGTAACCCGGGGTTTCATTGTGCATATGCTTCATCTATCACCCAGGCCTGCTCTGCTTCGGCTGGCTCCTGCTGAAACAGCGCGGTGAGCACATGCAGCGCGCCCCGAAATGTCATGGCGCGCTGAGCTCTGCAGGTTTTGCTTGAGGGTTCCCTTTTTTTCGGGGGGTGGTTTTACAAGCCAAAGGAAACCACCCATTTTGGGGGACCCCGGATTTTGACACAAGCCCGTGTGCAAAGCCTCGTCTTCCAAAGAGTCCAACGCGCTGTTCAGCACGGGGCCCATCTTTGAGGCCACCTGGCGGAGCAAAAAGACACCAATTGGGCACCCAATTGACCTATGAAGGCCGCGAGTCAAAATTTCAGGGAGTTTTGCGATGAAAGGGACCCCCACCAAACAGGGACCCTCCTTCACAGGGGCTGGCCACTCCAGTGCCCATGGGGGAAAAAGGGTTCCATGTTTTCGTTAGCTGAACTCAAAGGGAAACCCGCTCCAAGAAAAAGAGCAGAATCCGCCCTTCGCCTGCGCGCCCACCATGGCGCCCAAAGGGCCGCCCAGCATGCCTCCAACCACAGCCCCGCCCACCTCGGCCAGACGAAGGCTAACAAAAGAATGTGTGTGTGTGTGTGTGTGCGCGTGTGGGGCTTCCTTTTGAGGGTAGGCTCCCATCTAAAGAGCATGGACTTGGGAGTGTGTGGCTTCCTTTTGAGGGTACCCTCGCCCGCACCCTTTGGGATGGTTGAGGCAAACAAATGGCAACCGCCTCGGGCCCCCTAATTTCGAGAAACACCCACAGGTTTGAGCATCGCTTCACATGGATTGGCGGGGTCTTGCACTGATTCAATTGCTTGTAGAATTCAATGTGCAAGTGACGATGAACCAAGGCTGCAATTCGAATCCGCATCTTGGGGCCCGGCACCTGCAGTTGCCTCGTTCTTCTTTTTGTCAAACCACTTCTCCACTCCTCCGGGGCTTCACCCGCATAATTACAGCTAGAGCGGCCAATCATACAATGACAGGAAAATAGGCAAACACAGTCACACACACACACACCACACCATAAGCCACACGCACGCTTGCATGCAAAGGCACAATGTATATATATATATATGTACTGAATATAAATTTACAAAATGTGCATCTTCAGAAAGCAACATCACGAGGCAATGCAAACGCACAACGCTCGGAGGCTTCTCTCTGCCAGACACGTGCAACGAGTACGATTGAGCTAAGCTATTTCAAATTACTTGTCCCCGGAAAAGCCGTCTAGGGGGACGCACATGGCATTTTGATGGCTTTGTATTGGCAGGAATGGCATTAGTGTGTTTTGAACGGGACAATCATTGGCTTGAAACGGTTGAGCAACTAAGTGTCCTCGGGACACTTGTGATCGGGGGCTTGCTAGCATGTGAGGGTAAAGGTCGGTTGCCTTAGAATGCCGAAAGCGTGTCCACAAGTTGCAAATGAGTGTCGCCAGCAGGCTGAAAAACAACGCGAAACACAGGGTTGGCGACGCTTGTGACTTGCGGCTTGATAGCCT